GAGTTTATTCTGATATATTACTTTTGCGTTGTTATGTTTATTGCTTCAGATCTAACAAGTGGTATCAGAGTAAAGATTATTTTGAGATATTGATACAAAAGCAACCTAAGACAGAAGTAAATTTTATTTGAAAACATAAAGGGTGATACAGTTTCTATAATAAAATTGATAGCATTAAATTATTCAATTTGAAAGCATATGGTGGAGGATCATCTATATTACAAAGATTTGTATAAGTTGATATTGGGTGATTTGACTAAACTAGCAGATATGAAAGATAAAAACTGAAAGAAGTTAGTTAAAAAGGCACTAGCTACAATAAAAAAATGAGTTGATATCATTGTGTTCTATTATGTAATGCAGGAGATAAATGCCTACATTATTTGAAAAAAATTGACAACATTATATGAGAGAAAGTTTGTTAAAAAGTTTACAATTTTACAGTACAGGGATGGACGATCGATTACAAAACACTTAAGTGATTTTCAAGATATATTTAATCATATGACTACTATAGAGCTTAAGATGGATGATGAAATGAAGGTGTTATTTTTTTTGGGTTCATTGCCAAACAGCTAGAATACTTTAGTTGTGACTGTTCTTAATTTAGCTTCTAATTATAAAGTGACATTGGAGATGGTAAAGAATAGTATGCTTAATGAATAAGTAAGGTGAAAAGATTTAGACCCTGGGAATCAAGCTTTGATTATAAAGAACAGGGACAAAAACATCGACAAAGGTCAGAACTCAAAAAATTGTAGTAAGTCTAAATATAGATCCAAGTTTAAAGATAAAGTGAAGTATTTTCATTGTGGTAAAATATGTCATATAAAGCAATACTATAAAATCTTGAAGTAAGAGCAAAAAGTTGAAAAAAGTAAGAGTTTAGATGATGGTAATATTGCAACAGTGAATTCAAATACTGATTTAGTTACTTTAATTTGTACACATGATGATTATAATCATGTTGGTGATCCCAACATTTAATGGATGGTTGACACAGGAGTGGCATATTATTATGTTCCTAAGAAGGAGTTATTTACAACTTATAAAGTATGAGACTTTGGTTACATTAAGATGATAAATAAGAGTGTGTCATAGATTGTTAGGATTTGTGATATTATTGTACAAACTAGTACAAGCTGCATGCTAATTTTAAGGGATGTTAGACATGTTTCGAATATGAGAATGAACTTGTTTGCTATTAATGTCCTTGATAAGGAAGGATATGAAAGTCGACGAAAGAATGGGTAGTGAAAGCTTTTCAAAGGATCTATGATAATTGTAAGAGAAAACTATGCTACATAATGTTTAAGACGTGGATATAATTGAATGCAAACCATATAAATGTTATTGAGGATGAGATACAAGTTTTGGTAATGAAATGACAACTAGATAAATACAAGTTTTGGTAAGACAGTCTCTCATTCTCTTGACTAAAGATATATTTCTTGATTCATGTGATCATTATTTGTTTGACAAGCATCATAGAGTTTCTTTTCATAAGAGCTTTTAGAGAAAAAAATAGATTGAAATTGATTCATTCTAACGTATGTGATCTCATTGAGGTTGAGTAATTAGGTGATAGTAGGTATTTTATTACTTTTATTGATGATATTTCATGTAAAACTTGGGTGTATATATTAAAAAATAAAAGCTAAGTATTGCAGTATTTTTAAAAATTTTATCCCACGATGGAAATGATGATAAGGCTTCTCTTAAAGTATATTTAGACCAATAATGGTAAGGCATACACATCGAAAGATTTTGAATAGTATTGTTCAAAGCATGAGATCAGACATGAGATGATAAAACCTGAAACATCGCAGTATAATGGTATAGTAGAAAGGATGAATTGCACTATTATGAAAAAAGTCAAATGTATGTTGAGGATGACAAAATTATCGAAGCCATTCTAGGGTAAAACAGTTAACACAACTTGTTATTTGTATAATAGATCACCATCAGTTCCTTTGGGCTTTTACATTCCAAAAAAAGTATGGACAAAAAAGGATGCTTCATACTTTCACTTGAAAATTTTTTATGTAAAGTATTCATGCATGTGCCAAAAGAGTAGAGATTAAAGTTTGATAATAAGGTCACATAATATGTGTTTGTAAGATATAGTGATAAGAAATTTGGCTACAGAGTATCGGATCCAGTAAAGTGAAATATAGTTAAAAGTAGAGATATGTTCTTTTATGAAAAAAAATCATAATAGATATTGAAAAAAATAAAAAAATTACACAGTTACTGTTGAGTGTGATGTTTCAACATTGACAAGGGTTTTATCGAAAAAGAGCTACAGATGATGGAATTGAGTAAGAGACAGAACTTAAGTATACAAATAAGCCAGTCACAGTTAGTGATATGTCAGATGCAATCAATTTTTAATAGGGGAACAATCTTTTCTACCTGAACAGTGTTGAATAAGGATAGCAGTTCTCTATACCAAAAAGTATGGAGTAGAAAGGGCTACCTTCAACATCAGGTAGTGTAAAGTCTCAGCTTATGAGATTTACTAGAAAGTACAAGATATCCATTAGGTATCCAAGTTTAAATTTTATTTTAGTTACCAATAGAGGAGAGCCAGAGAGCTTTCAAGATGTACATATTACTCCAGATAGAGAGCACTGGTTAAAAGCAATGAAAGAAAAGATAAAGTCATTACAAAAAAATAATACATATAATTTATTGAATTTTTAAAAGTGAAAAAGTTGCTGAAGAATAAATGGGTGTTCAAGTTGAAAAAAGATAATGACAAGCTAGTGATGTACAAAGCTCAATTAGTGGTGAAAGGTTTTTATTAGAAACTTGGCATCGATTTTGATGAGATTTTCTCTCCAATTGTGAAAATGAGTTCCATTTGAGTGGCACTAGGATTAGCAGCTAGTTTAAAATTTGAGCTTAAACAACTTAATGTTAAGACTGCATTCTTGCATGGTGACTTGTAATAGGATATTTATATAGATTAACCTGAGGGTTTTGAAGTGAAAAAGAAATAACACTTAGTTTGCAAACTAAAGAAAAGCTTTTATGGCTTTAAACAAGCTTCACGACAAGCTATAAAATAACAGCAATGGATCTTTGTGTGTATGTCAAAAAATTTTTTGATGGCAACTTTATTATTCTCTTATAATATGTTGATGATATATTGATTATGAGATAAGATACTGATATGATTCGTAGGTAGAAAGCATAATTATCTAAGTCATTTGACATGAAAGATTTAGACCTAACAAAACAGATTCTCAGTATAGATATTATATAGGATATGAGAGCTAGAAAACTATAGTTGTCATAGAAAAAATAAATTGAATGGGTGCTTAGTAGATTCAACATGTAACATGCTAGATCAACTAGCAGTCCATTTACCAACCATTTTTATCTAAGTAAAAAATCTTATCCAGTAACTAAAGAAGAGCAAGTAGCTATGTCTAGTATTTTTTATTCTTCTGCAGTCGATTCTTTGATGTATCTTATTGTTTATACATGTTCTGACATTACTTATGTAATTGGTGTAATGAGTAAATTTTTTTCTAATTTGGATAAAGTTAACTAGGAAGCAGTAACATAGATTTTTTAAATATTTGATAGGCACTTTAAAAATATACTTGAGTTATGAAGTTTCATAACCAGTTTTAGAAGGGTTTATTGATGTTGACATGACAGGTGATCTTGATGATAAAAAATCTACTTCAAGATATTTATTTACTTTTACAAGAAGAGCTCTGTCTTGGTAGTTTAAGTTACAAAATTTTATTGCCTTGTCAACTACAAAAGCTGAATAGATTGCAGCAACCGAAGCAGGTAAAAAAAAAATTTGGATGAAAACTATCTTCTTGAATTGAAGTTGAATAAAAAAAGTATGTAGTATTTTGTGATAACTAGAGTGCTTTAGATCTAAGTAAGAATGTCATGTACCATGCTGGAATAAAAGTACATTAATGTTAGATATCATTAGTTATATTTGGTGATTAAAGAATAACAGATACTATTGAAAAAAATCCATACTGACGAGAATGTAGTAGATATATATGTTAACTAAGATACTTCTCAAGAAAAAGCTTGAGCTCTGCAGTAACTTGACCTAAATGGATTCTTTGGCCAAGGTAAATTTCAAATAAAACTGTTATGGTGATAAATCTCTTCATAATGGGACTGAAAGGGGAGATTATTAGGATATGTGGGATCTAGTCCCATGCCATTGGTTTTGACCAATTAAAAGGCCTAAAGCCTTTTTTTGTTTTTGACCTAAGAGAGCCATACTTAAATAAAGCCTTAAACAATAAAAGGGGAGTTGTATAATAGAGAAATGAAGGTGGTGCTAAAATCAAGAGAAAGAAAAAAAGCCAAAAAAAAAAAGAAAAAAAGAGAAGGGAGAGTTGATTGAATGAAAGTTGATCCATAGTCCGATTGAGCTAAAATTTTGTTAATAGGTTTATGATTTGGAGTTTTACATTCTGAACGGTAAAAATAGGATTTGAAGTTTTTTAGGAACAAATCTATGTTGTATTTGTTAAGTCATTTATTTGGTGAGATTTCTCCAATTGTCTCTCAAGTTATTGATTAGCTTTAGTTTTAGTTAGAGAAAAATTTTATACATAAATTATTTGATAGTAAAAATTTTTTTTATAGTCTATGCTTTTTTTTTTTACACTAAAATTTTTTTATGTAAATCTTGATGTGTTTTTTTTTTATATTTTTTATTAGTAATTATTATTTATTACTATAAATTTATTATGATTATTGTATTTACTGTTTTAAGCCCAACATATTTTTCCTTTGGTGGACGACTGGACTATATGTGAAGTAGATTCGATTACTTTTGTATTACTCACTGGGAAGATACTGAAATTAATCAATAATCATTCAGCTAACAGGATATGATCAAATATTGACTTGATTAGCCACCTCCAGACAAGCAACAACCAGTTAATCAATGCTATTAATTATTGTCCACAAAGCATTGATTTTAAGTTGAACTTTTGTCTTTATGTCAAAAGTTTCAATTTTCAAGTACTGTAGGGGCTTTTTCCTCATTTACTAAAAACATACCCATAATTAAAGTTTTAAGAGTCTAAAATTGTTTCAATTTCTTTCATTAAATAAGTTTGTGACAGCGAAAGTTACTGAATTGGATCAGCCTGCAACTAGCAAGTTTAATCTCAATTCCCAGGACACCATTTGCTTTGCTTAATACTGTAAATTCTTTATTCAACATAGAAACTTGAAGATCACATTTTAGGAAACGAGTTTGTCATTTTTCTATGATGTAACTTGTGGCGACTATTGGACTTCTAACAACGTGTTTTCTTCCGCTATCTTCCCAAGTGAGATAACCAAATTTCACTGCCTCATCCAGCTGTCTTGGACCTTCTATACTCAGCTTGAAGTTTTTCTTCTCGTTTTTTGCATTGAAAACCAACGTGTCTGGTTCAACAGTTACCTTAACTCCCTTGAAGGGTGTTACCGTAGCTTTGTAGCCGGAGCTTCCTTCTCCAACATTGGTCACTGTTCTTTGAAATTCCTTCACAGTTTTTGAATTTGGTTTTGCATTCCTGTCATTGAAATACGCAATAAAAGAAGGGTAATTAAGATCTAGAGACGGGTTGGAACAGTTGTTTGAAGATGATTTTGTGATGATTTTAATTTGTTGTTCTGTGAAGTTTAGCCCGCAAAGAAGATTCACGTAATCTTCGACGGTAGCATCGTATATGAGTCCGGGATCTAGTGCTTTGTTGGGATTGATTTGGCCGGCTCCCATGGCTAGAGGATTGGCAGGTTGGAGATTTTCACCTATATCCTTGATAGGACTGCCCGTATTATCAATGGTATCAGCTGTAGTCATCAAGGCTGATCTGATGGCTGCCGGGCTCCAATCAGGATATGCTCCTTTCAAAAGTGCTGCTACTCCTGTCACATGGGGGCATGCCATGGATGTACCTGAAAGTAAATTGAAGTTGCTAAACAAAAGGTCCTTTTTTACAAGGGCAACTCCGATATTTGGAGGCCATGCAGCTAGGACTAAGTCACCAGGGGCCATAACGTCAGGCTTCAAAACAGATGGACAGCTATAGGATGGCCCTCTAGAGGTATAGCTAGTGACAGTTGGTGAAGGTTTAGTACCCAGGAATGTTTTTTTAAATTCAATGCTGGCTTTTGGGTCAGTGTTGCTCTCAATGTAGTCCACCACGGTATCACCATCGTTTTGTTCCAAGAAGACGGCTGGAAAAGGGCCCTGGGCGTATGAAGTTACATCACTGTTATTTGTTATGAAGACACCAGCAATATTTCCTGCAACTTGAATGTTGTTAAATTGGTCATTCAAGGAATCTTCTTTGCCTGGATCTTGGCACACAACAATCTTTTGCACAATTTTCCTCAATTCACTCGTATTGTCACATGCGTCCATGAAAACAATTGGAAATTCGTTTGACGAGAAATTTCCTGGATAGAGAGCCACACCATTGACGGAATCTTTGCTTCCAAGACTTAAAGTTGCGCCAAAGTCTCGATCCATTGTACCAGCAGCGACAGTTATAACCCAAGGCGTTCCGTTGTGTAGAGTCTCTACATCTGGCCCTTCGTTTCCTGCAGATGTAGAAACGAAAATATTCTGCTCTATGGCGGCAAACGTGGCTACTGCAATAGGGTCTTGATACAATTCAAGCCCATCCAAGCCCAATGACATGGAAAGAACATCAACACCGTCAGCAATTGCTTGATCAATTGCAGCAATTATATCTGTCGTGTAAGCTCCCTCATCCCAGAGGGCTTTGTACATGGCCACCCGAGCCCCTGGGGCCATTCCTCTGGCAGTTCCCATGGCATAACCAAAGAATGATGCATCTGGCACATAATTTCCAGCAGCAGTTGTTGAAGTGTGGGTCCCGTGTCCTTCTGTGTCGCGTGGAGAATTCATTGATATGGTGATATTGGGATCGTGGGCAATCAAACCTTTATTGAAAGACCGCGCACCAATGAGCTTTTTGTTGCACATTGAGGAGTTGAATTGGGTGCCACTTTCACATTCCCCTTTCCATTTTGATGGAACATCCGTCATCCCCTTATCATTAAAGCTTTCGCTTTCTGGCCAAACCCCTGTATCAATCACCCCAATAATAACGTCTTTGCCAAAATTTGACACCGGCCAGGCACCTGTGCCAGAATTCAGGCCAAGAAATTTGAAAGAATGAGTGGTATCAACCTTGGCAGTTCTGTCTCTAATGGAAGAAACATAGCCTGGAGTGTTTTTCAAGGCCTCGAGCTCTGCCGGTTTGAGACTTGCACTAAAACCTTGAATAACATGGCTATAACTATAGATAAGTTTAGAAGAGGGGGCTTTAACTCTCAAGTTAGATGATAAAGATGCAAGGGTGGCCAAGTACCAGCTTTGCTGGCCGGAGAAGGCTTTGGGCATGGCTGATAGGTCCATGTGGACAATATAGTTGTCACCTTGTACTAGCTTGGTAAAGATAAATGAGATACTAAAAGAGAGCCAAACATACAGGAGTTTGGTTTGATCAGCTGCCATGGTAGAGGATTGGAATTTGGCAAGCGATATTTTATTTGAGGAATATCCTGATTTTGGTAAGCTTATATAAGGAATTGAAAGGCGTGGGAACTTGAGGTTATTCTTCACCATAAAAGTCTTTCAACTTGTCCGAATGGTATCCAAATAAGCGACCTCTAATGTCTCCACTACATACTTTTCTACTATGAGCTAGCTTGCATTAGGGTTGATCGATGCTCCTTATCCATCACCTATGGTCTACCTAGGCTGAGCCCTTTTGATCAGGAAAATTCAGTTGGGAGCTCACCTATGGTCTAACTGGATAGGGAATGGGGCCTGCATAACTAGCATCTGCAAGGACCACCTAGCACTATTAAAGGGTTTAGAATTGTTCAGAAGCTCACATCCATGACTATCGCATTCTCAAAAGAATAATAAACCTTTGAGTCTCCTTCTGTATTGGCAGCTTAATTCCTTCAAAAATGGTTTTGTATATCCCGGTTGAATCTGCTTTAAAGAGTCAGTTTTTGATGATATCAGCTAAGCATGGGGAAAATTTGATACCTACTATATATATATATATAAAAGAAAAAACAACGATGAGTGGAGGTCCTAGAGCCCACCATGTGCGAGCTCACGATGGAACAAATCCTATATATCACTCAAGATAATCTTGACTTGTTCATGGTCAAGTGAGTTTGTCCGTATGGAAAACTTGAAAAGACTATTTGCAAAGCATATGCAATTGTCACGGGTCAAAAACTTAAGCTTCGAATCTGCAAGATTTCGGGATCTAGATATCTACTCATTTGACGTTTCAGATTAACATAACCGTCACGGTTCATATCCTTGTGAGATATTATCCGTTCTGACCCCCTGACCTCACGATTTGATCCTACAAAAAGTACCTCACAAGACAAAGGTGGTATGAACATTTTTATACCCCAATGACCATTCTATTATATTCGATGTGAGATTCAGGACTCTTCTTTAGGTCTGTGACATTCTCCCCTATCCAACCTCGTGACGCTCTCGTCACGGAGGCTGGTCACCTTGCCTACCTCCCTCAAAGTGCTTGATGTGGATCGAACGATATAGGGTTGACTCTGATACCACTTGTCACGGATCAAGATTTAAGCTCCGAATTCGTGTGACTCCGAGACCCGGGCATGCACTCATCTGGCGTCCCAGATCAGCCTAACCGTCACGGTTCACACTCTTGTAAGGTATTATCCGCTCTGGCCCCCTTAACCTCACGATTTTGTCCTATAAAAGGCGTCTCATAAGGCAGAGGTGGTGCGAACCCTTTTATACCCCAATGACCCACTTATTATATTTAATGTAAGATTCATGACTCTTCCTTAGGTCCGTGACACAAAAATGTAATTTTTTTTTTTTGGAGTTAAAAAATTACATTGTCCATTTATCAAAAATAAACTCAACATGATTAATTTTTGGGATTGCTATATGCAATTTTTAAAAATATTTTTAAGATTAAAAATATTTTAAAATTTTAAATGTAGATAATATGATTTTTTTAAATTAAAAATATTATATATTTTAAAGGAATATTAGTTTCAGACTCATGCGCGATACATGTGTAATTTTTATCTTTAAAAATTTATCTTAATAAATAATTTTTTAATATTATGATAATAATGATAAATACTAATAATATAATTTTAATTTTGGTATAATATAATTTGATAACTTTTTATATAATTTTGATTTCGAGAACCTGTGATAAAACTTTGGTTACCTTCGATACAATTTTGGTAATCTTTAATATTAGTTTGGTAACTTATAATATAATTTTGATAACTATTGATATAATTTTGATAATTTTTGATAAAATTTCAATAACCTTTTGATGTAGTTTCAGTAACTTTTGGTACTTATAATATATATTTGATAATTATTAATAAAATTTGTATCATATATTTAACAATAAACTCTCGTAAGAAAGCGAGAGTTCAGTTTCAATATAAGAATTTTTTTTTATACAATAACATTATTATTTTATTTAAATTAAAATTTTTTACTGAATTTTTTTATTAAATAAATTCATGATTTATTTATCTTAACTTCCCAAGATGAAATTTGTAACTTTGTTTTTATTAGTAACCAAGATTCAAATCTTGATAACTTCAAATATAAAAATTTACTAATGATTAATTATTAAGTTATCATTAATTTAATATTATTTTATTAGTAATTTATTACTAAATTATTAATGATATACCACTAAATTATTAATGATTTATTACTAAATTAGTATTGAAGTATTACTAAATTATTGATAATTTACCATTAAGTTACTAATGATTTATTATAAAATTATAGTTTATTTACTATTAATTTTTTAATAATTTACTATAAAGTTATTAATTATTAATTAATTTAATTACTTATTTACAATTAAATTATCATCAATTTGTAACTAAGTTATTACTTATTTACTACTAAGTCATAAATAATTTATATATAAATTATCAATGATTTACTATTATATTATTATTAATTTACTATTATGTTATCATTGATTTACTATTATGTTATCATTGATTTACTACTTAATTTTTTATAATTTACTATAAAATCATCATAGATTTATTATTAAATTAAGCATGATTCATTACCAAGTTATTACTAATTTGTATTAAATTACTTATGATTTATTATTAAGTTATTATTAATTAATTATTAAGTTATCAATAATTTATTACTACTAAATTATATTAATTTACTTTTAAGTTTTCAATAATTAACTACAAAATTATTCATGATTTGCTACTAAATTTATCAATTAATTACTATTAAACTAAAACTGATTTACTATTAAGTTATCACTAATTTACTATTAAGTTATTATTAGTTTATTCTTAAGTTATCGATGATTTATTACTAAGTTATCACTTGTTTTTATTAACTTATCATTGATCTATTAATATATTGTTATGCATTTACAACTTCAAAACATGGAATTTAAAAAGTCCACTAATAATATATAATATAATTTTTTGTATATAATAACACTATTATTTTATTCAAATTTAGAATTTTTTATTATTTTTTTATTGAATAGGTTTATGGTAAGTTTATCCTAACTTTAAAATAAAAGTTTTGACTTTGTTTTTGCTAATAATCAGGGTTTAATTTCTGAGAAGTTTAAGAATAAAAAAATTATCAATGATTTATAATTAAATTATCGGTGATTTATTAGTAAGCTATTAATAATTTATTACTAAATTATCAAAAATTTACTATTAATTTATGAATGATTTGCTATTAAGTTATCAATGATTTACTATTAAGTTATACATGATTTCTATTAAATTATTGGTAATTTACCATTAAATTATTGATGATTTATTATAAATTTATAACTAATTTACTATTTAATTTCTAAAAAGCTATTAATGATTAACTAACTTACTACTAAATTATCACTAATTTAAAAATAAGTTAATTACTATTATGTTATTAGTAATTTATTATTATGTTATTAGTGATGTATAATTAAGTTATCAATTTATTACTAAATTATCAATGATTTACTATTATATTTTTATATATTTACTATTATATTATCATTGATTTGCTACTTAATTTTTTTATTATTTACTATAAAATTATCATCAATTTATCACTAAATTATTTATGATTCACTACCAAATTATTATTGATTTATATTAAATTATGCATGATTTAGTATTAAGTTATTGATGATTTACTATTAAATTATACTGATTTACTGTTAAATTTTTAATGATTAATTACTAAATTATCAATTATTTACTATTAAATTATTATTGATTTACTATTAAGTTATTTATAATTTACTACTATTAATTAATTACTACTAAGATGAAATTACTTTACTAATAAATTATCTCTAATTTACTATTAAGTTATCATTGATTTATTACTAAGTTATCAATAATTAACGAATAAGTTATCATTTATTTTTTATTAAGTTATCCTAGATTTAGTATTACATTATTATGCATTTACAACTATATTATAATTGTTAGACCATTAAGGTATTATGCATTTATTATTATATTATTACTAATTTACTAAAAAGTTATCAATTATTAGTTACTAAATTATCATGAATTTACTATTAAGTTACCATGATTTTGCTATGAAATTATCAATAATTACTACTTAATTATATTGATTACCTTTAAATTTTTAGTTATTAATTACTATATTATTAATTATCTACGATTATGTTATTAATTTATATATATTAAAAAAAGTAATCATAATATATGTTAGATGATATAATTTGTTTGATAGAGAAAAAAATTAATAAAAATTTAATTGTAAATAACTTGAAAAGCATGAATAAATGATCTTAATTTACTTTTATAGTTTAACACGTAATAATAAATTAAAATCATAACTTTTTATATTAATAGAAGTATCAAAACTAAATTAAATAAATATATACAATATTTATTAAGTCAATATTCTAAAGATATTTTTCAAAATTTTTAGCTGATGGTAAAACAATATGTATTAAGATAAGTTTTATTAATAATTTGATTGAATTATTAGTATATTTGTTTTTATACATGTCATCAAAGTACAATTGTATATACAAAATGAAAAAATTTGAAGTACTCTGTCACCAATGAAAGTAATAAATTTTTGTCTTATTTTTCTATCTTTAATTATATAATTTTGGGTAAAAATTTTGTTTTATATATATATATATATATATATATATGATAAAAGTACTAAGAACAAATTTGCTAAATAAACTTTATAAAAATTAAACAAACAACAATTTTAAAAAATATTAAATTCACAATAATTATATCCGCATTCTCCATAAAAAAATTTATACTATAAAATAAAAAGATTATATATTTTTAATTGTTACTTCATTCTTATTACCATAATTCAAAGTAACTTTCTTGATATTTTGATATTAACCAACTTCTCCATTTGAAAAAAGTAAAGAATATTGTAAGATGTTATAACAACTCAAAAAATGTTTAATTTTATGTTGTGTTCCTAAACAAGTATAAACTATGATATCCCTCTCAAATAAAATGTTTGAATTGTTTTCTTCAACCTATATACTACCAATTTAATTAACAATGAATGATTATGAACTTGTTGATCTAAATTAATATTTTTGTAATACGAATTTTAAAATTCTTAAAAGAATATATATTTTTTAATCTCTATAAGACTTGGGCATAAGGATTTTCTTTTAGAATTATCATTAGTATTTTCATTACTTTTGCACTTAAATTTTTATTATGTTGTGCTTTTATTCTATTTTGAAATTTATTACCAGTGTTATAAAAGTATAGTTAAAATAACATAAATTAATCAACTCAAATTTAAAACAATTTAAAACTCGATTGAGTATAAATAATGTTTTTACTCATTTTAAAATTAAATTTAATTAAAATAATATAATAAAAATACTTATAAAAATAAACTAACTTTACTCGATTTCAATTGCTTTTAAAAATCAACAACTTAATAGTTATTTAAAACACAAAATGATTGAATATAACCAAAATTCAAATTGAAATAGTAA